GCAGCCTGCTATGTGGGGCGTTTAGGGAGCATCAGTAATTCGTAATTTCTATTGATACGAAAATGTTCAGCAAGTCATATGTTTTGCCTTTGACCAGGTGGGAGGTGCAACAAAATGAGAAAGTGGGTCGTACTGGTCCTACCGGTGAAAAAGTTAGTCTAGAGCCCTGAATAGTGTTGTTTTCATTATTTATGTTGTGTGTTTTGAGTTTGTACAGATCCTGTAAATATTGATGAAAGTTTGATGAATGGTTTTGAAATTTAGTTCTGGTAAATCTTGCTAATGTTAAATTATATTATGATTAGAATATCCTCCAAAGGTAGACAATTATCATTCCTGTAAATAGTTGTGCCTGATGTTACGCATATTCTAATTGCTGATTTTATTAAAAAAAAAAAAAAAAAAAAAAGGTAATTTGCAGTCTGCACCCCCCCACCAAACATTTTCACCAGCTGCCACTGGTCACAAACTAAGATATTGGACAAAATGACATTTTGACCTGATGGGGACACTAGAGGAAAGGTCTGGGGACCACCATAGTCATTAAAATTCAAGCTCAGGTCTAAATGGATAGTTTGTAATAAGAAGTCATCCAATATTGATATGGCAGTCTGGACCAAAATAGTGGAAAGGACGGCTAACCTTTTTTTTTTTTTTCTTTTATCACCACTGGATCTCAAAGACAAGTATAACAAAGAAAATCCTATATATGCAAGTTTTATCAATTATGTTGGCTATGATTTTTTTTGCTACTTTGTTTTGTTAAAGATGAGGTTTCTAACTTCCTTAATCATGAAAGCTATTTCTAAATTGCTGCAAGCCTGTGATTACACAACTCACTAAATATTCCTTTTAGTTTCTGACTAAATGCAACTTAGCATAATTTACATAGAAAGAAGAGCCGTGCAAAATCCTACCAATAAACTTTATATCCTTTGCCCTTTGATACTTTGTGCCATGAAGTCCCGGTTGAGAGTAGAGTTACTTAACTCTGGCAGTTCAGTGTTGAACCAAAGGAACTTTTTTTTGCCACTTTGCTTGACAGTAAAAGTGTTGCCACCAATAATTTGTGCCCCTTGTCAATGTCAGAGTTCCATTAGATGCAGTCCGTCTGGCCACAGCTGTCTCTATTAGCAATTATGGCATTTTTCTGTACAGTGTTGGAACTTGTACTTATGATGTGAAAGGCCTGTATTGTAACTAATCTTCCAATCTCATGACAGAAATGTGTTGTATGATGACAAAGAGTGTTTCTGTGCCAGAGGGACGGTCACCACCGTACATGTGCGGTAACAAGTCTAAACAGTTGATAATAGATGAGTAACTGAGAGAAATGGAAATTTGATTGTTCCCATGTTACTGTTTTTATCGCTTAAACTGTAAGTTCAGTTGTCTTTGATTAATTACTTCCAATTAGATGGGTTTTAATGGAACAGATGGACAAAAGTGTTCATTAACAGTGAAGAGCGGCCACAGCAAATTAGCAGAGAAAATGGGAGCTTTAATATATCCAATCACAGAGCAGATCAGATCATAGGTGAAGGTCTATCTGTCAAATAAATGCATAGTTCATTTCTTATTTCAGATTAAAACTGTTGTATGCCAAGGTCTGAGTAAATTACCATATTTCATATTTGTGAGAGAACCTTAAAACGTATCTCAGAACTTGAAGTGATTTGCAAGGAAGAGTGGATGAAAATGCCTAAATGAAGATGGAAATGACTCTGAAGTGTCCACGGAAATGTTTTCAAGCAACAGGAAATAGTTACTAAGTTTTGGCTTATTATTTTTTGGTATTGAAATTAAATATAACAGCGCATGAATTTGCAGAAAATGTGTGCATCATTATCACAACATGTGTCATCTTTAAATTGGTGCAGCAATTTTAAAAGAAAATGACCAATTAGTAGGTGATCAGGTGTGCAGTGGAGAGGTTTATTAACACATGGACAGTTTTGTTTGGTGACGAAAAGTAATTGGTATTATTTGGTCATCACTAGACTCTCCACACACTGCAATAACAGCCAGAGGCCTGCCCAAGGGGGCCTGCTCAGACTTTGAACAAATCAAAGCGCCTGTCTCCCAGCCAGTGTTACACAAAACCCCATGTCATTCACAGAGGAGAGGCTAATAACACAGTTAGGCAATTCAGGCCTGCTTCATTGTGTGTCAGAAAGAGTAGTAGCGCTGTTCAATACAATCAGACGCAGAGCAGTTGCTCCCCTGGCCCAGAAAAGCAAAAGAATTGAGGAGCCTACTGATTGACAGGCTTGGTCAAACATGACGAATGTTTTCTCAGCTTTGGAACAAATGAGTTTGCTGTGAAATATAATTAGCTAATAGGACCTGATCACTTAATTACTGCTGTTTGATGCTAATCAAGTCATCTCCCTATTTCCAAGATTTTCTGGTTTTAAAAGGTGCAGTTCAAGCGGTTTATTTTTTTTTATAGACGTGTGTGATTTACAGCTGCAAATGTGTGACATTTACACAGAATCAGTCTTTGATTCTCTTTTGATTCAGTCTTTGTACTCTTATCTCCTTTTTTGTGTTAGCAAATTTTTTTTAATGCTGCTTGTATTAGAGTTTTTTGTTGGCTAATAGATAAAGTTCCTCCAACAACGTCACAGGATACAGCTCGCAATACGCAATTATTGGTATTGCCAGTGAGTTCTATGAAAATACCAAAAGCAATAATGTGTTAGTCTGGCCCTCAGCACTGTCTGACTTTCCTACCTTGCTATTGCTGTTAGCCCATAGGCCACTGGTTCCTTCTGGATTATACTGAAGTGTGCTTTTGTTTAAAAAAAAAAGGTGTGAAAGTGAAAGAAAGCAGCTCACACATGTACACAGCCTCATTCACACATACATCTCAACCTTTCAGCTCCATGCAAATGATAAAACAGTGACTTTTTAAAGCTGAAGTTGTATGTTTTTTTTCTATATGCAGACTAATAATTGCAAAGTGCTGTTTCCTTTAGAAATAGGTTCAGAGTTGACAGCCTTTTAAAGCCCCACACTGACCGCTGGAGCTGCCTGAATTCAGAGTCAAACCCTTGGACCAGGCTAATCTCCGGCACCACAGACACTTGTTTTTTTACTCAGTGTAGCTTTTGTCCATATTTCTAACGTAGTTGAAAAGAAAATCATGCCAATTACGCACATGGAGGGAAAGCTTAAATTGCCCAATCTCTCGATATTCTCCATCTTCTAACCTGTCATCATTTAGCAGCAGAGACTGCAGAGATCTGTCCCGGCTCAGTCGTGGCAGAAACCCTGACACTTTCCCTCTCCTGCACTGAACCACAGCAGAAACTAATTAGCATAGACACTACCTTTCTGATCAACACAAAGCATTCTCTCTTGTTTCCAATGACGCACCATGAATTTAAATGAGCCAATTAGCGTATGCGTTTCCCCTGGTGTCGAGTTCACAAAGTCTTTGATTGAGATTCTGCTGCACAGCAATACAGCAGAAAGCCTCGCTGCCCTGCAGGCCACCGCAGCCAAGAACGATGAGCGTCACGTAACTCATAGTATGGATTCATTTGAGTGTAAATGCAGGTGGAGGTGCTGGGGAGAAATTTTAGTGCTCATCTCTAGTGTTGGTTTATAAAACATTACCTCCCCATTCTTTAGGGGTCTACTTTTAGTTTAAGAATATTGCTTTAATTTTCTGAAAACACAAATAGAGCTCTTGCCTTGAGAGGACCTTGTTCACTGTATCCTGCCGTGAATATTGAACAAGAATATGATGCACATGTATTGCAGATTGTAATGCTTCCTGCAGTGAGGGCACATAAATCAATTTATTTTATTTATTTATTTTTAAATATATATCTCTCTTTTCACAACCAGCTGTTACAGGGAAAGTCCATCCCTAAACTGGGATCACTGGACCAAATTGAAACGGGAAGCGGCGACGCAGAGGGCCGTTATAGTGGAGACTGTGATGACGAGGACGGCTGCAGCGGATCAGGTGGAGGCGAAGTTAAGAGGAAAGTCTCCAGAGTCTCCAAATGTAAGTCTCATCCTTTTGTCTTTTTATTAGGGGTGGGACTTAAACGCATTAATTAACGTGAAAATAACGTGTTAGAGTCCCACCCCAATATACTTTAAAGCGTCAATTACGATTAATTAATTACAACAAAAATAATGCGTTGAAAAAATTAACGCATTTAATCGCAGTTTGCATCCAGGCAACACGAAACATTTTTCAGTGCCCAATTTCATGGTCCACCAATCACATGATGCGCAAGATGCGTCAGCGCTACGCTAACAACAACAAACATGGAGGAATCCGATGAGAGTGCATTGCTTGGACTGATGGAGGGTAAGTTTCATTTTAAAAAAACTGCCTGATGGAAACCTTAACAAGAGTGTGGTTTTGTACAACTTGTGCAAAAAAAATTTGCATACCACCGAAGCTCATCAAGCTTACGGTACCTGAATGCAAAGCATGTTGTAGCTAGCACAGAAACCGCCAGAGCTGTTAGCGCTAGCAGTCCTGGATAGCAACAATTTTTTAAAAACACGTTATTTTTGTTGTGATTAATTAATCGTAATTAACGCATTAACACGTTAAAGTCCCACCCCTTGTTTTTATTTATCGATCAACCGGTTGGCAATGCAAAGACATTGTTGTCCAGCAGTCATTACCTGAGCGCCCATAACTTGCTCTTAGGGGGCAAAGGTAAATGGCAAGAACATGACATTTGCGTGAATGAGTATATCTGAATATGGATAGGTTATAATGAAATAAATTTGTGTGTGTCTTTGTATTTGCCGTATTTTAAACTTTTATTGGTATTCATTGTGTATATATAGTGTGTATATTATAGTCTTTGTACACTGTAAAAAAAAAAAAAAAAAAAAGTTTCAAATAAGATTCAAAAACTCAAATAATTTGCGAAAATTAAAACAAATAACTGTAAAATAATATTTCTTTCAGTCTGATTTTAGAACGGGCTGCAAGATGGCTCAGTGGTTTGCACTGTTGCCTCGCAGCAAGAAAGTCGCCGGTTCGTGTCCCGGTGAGGACACCCGGGATCTTTCTGTGTGGAGTTTACATGTTCTTCCCATGCAGTGTGGGTTCTCTCCGGGTTCTCCGGCTTCCTCCCACAAATCCAAAAACATGTTGAGGTTAATTGGTGATTCTAAATTGTCCGTAGGGGTGAATGTGAGTGTGCTTGGTTGTCTGTCTCTAAGTGTAGTCCTGTGATAGGCTGGCGACCTGTCCAGGGTGTCCCCTGCCTTCGCCCTAAGTCAGCTGGGATAGACTCCAGCCCCCTCGCGACCCTAATGAGGATTAAGCGGTGTATAGATAATGGATGGATGGATGGATGGATGTTGGACATTGTATACAGTTTACATTTTGTTTTGTTTAATACAGTCAACATGCAGATGTATTGTTTTTTTTTTGTAATTTCTGATATGATCACTAACTACAAATATGTATAAAATAATGTATTATTGTTATTATTAATACGTTATTTTATACATGTTAAATCAATACTTTCTTTCTGGGAAATCTGTTATCTGTAATTTAACAAAACTGCAAAAATCTGCAAAATTACGGTGGTTTGTTTCAAAAGCAAAAGTTAAAAACGAATAATCTACCTGCTTAGGGGCTGTTGATTGAAAATAGTTTGTACCTGTCTGCTGCAAAAAAAAATCTCCTTTTGTAATGTAATAAACTACACATTTCAAAATATGTAACACAAACCCTAAACTAAACTGAACACAAAATGAAAAGAATATTCAGTTCTCACACATCAGATCAGCATCAGACCAAACGAATGAAATAAGACTAATAAATATAACAAGTAATGCATACAGTATGTATCTTCATATGCTATTTAATTTATAGTGCATATATTAAATTCATCCTTTTCACCCTTCCATCCTTTCAAAGTTTCAGGTTTTGAAAAGAGAAAGTAGTTTTTGATCAGAGAAGACATTCAAAGGTGCAGTTGCATAATACAATGTTTTATTAAGACTTGCTCCAGTCTCCTCTTTTATGACAGCAATAATAATAGTCATTAAAGATTATAGTTGCTATGGGGACATTATTGCAATCAAGGCCTGTTACTTTAAAAATTATTGCTCCTCGGTGGATCGGTAACCCCTGATGAATCACGGCAGCAGAGCTCTCCTCTTCATTTTGTTACCTTTCACACTCTCCTCTCAGCACATGGATCCCTCCTCTCCTCTCTCCTCTACTCTCCATCAAACATGCTAACAACCTGATTAATCACCTCTCTCATTTTGCCTATGGCGACGGAGAGGAAGGGGGGGTCGTCCAAACAAGCCATTCTACCCGTGTAAATGTTTCCTCTACTGCTTGTCAGTCTGACTTGAGGCTTCAGCGGCCGAGGCAAGCCGCTTAACAATCGCTCATCGGAGGCTGTAGGGAGGCTCTGACATTTATCACCCATTACAGTAGAGCCGCCCTTTCCTTGTCATAGGCCAGATCAGCCTGTCTGCCATATTTATGACCCACTGTCTGCTGTGACCTCTGTCGAGCATCTGTCCCCCGCTGCCTGACCCTCACGCAAACACCGAGGATTCACCTTTTCCTGAACCAGATCTCTGGTCAGTCCCTGCAGGATTCTCCAGTTATGGTTGCAAACGTTATTCTTCTTTAGATTGTGTTGTTGTGATGTGGAATTAAATTCAGTGGCAAAAGTTGCAGATTATAGCAGCATGGAGAACATCATCACAAAATAGCAACACATGCCTTTAGAAAACAAAGAAAAAACACTGCAATCAAATGTTTTTCTGCAGCATTGAAATTGTGTAAATGTCTTTATCTGCAGGCGCATTTTCTTTATTTAAAAAGTACAATACTGGAGGTTTAATCCAAAAACACCTCTTCAACTTGTAGGAGTAAATAAAGGTCACAGATAAATAAGCAGCCCACTGTCCACTGAATCATTCGCCTTCATTGTTTGAAACTAACGCAGACATGTAACAAATAAAATGGTGCATGGCACAGGTTAATAAATACATGTTAAACCCTCATTTGAGAGCCTTAGTCATGAATAAGCACTTACTCATTGCAAATCGGCATTAGCTATACTGAGCTGTTGCCAAATCCTGGAGAGCTAGCGCATTACCATTGTTCTCAATGGGTGAAGCGCTTCATTTAGTTTTATTTGCTGCCAGGAATGTATTTTTTTGAGTTTTGCAAAGTTACCTCAGTTCCTAAATTGGCTACCATGAGAATAAATCATTGTGGTATATATACAGTATTGATGAATGCTTTTTCTTTTTTCTTTTTCCCAGTCTGCGTTCAAAATAGAAACCTACAAAGATGAAAATCCAATATTCAACACAGTTACCAGAAACAAATACTCCTGTAGAAGCGGATGAAAATAAATGCATGCAGGTGTTGCTAAAAAAAAATCAGTGTATTAATAATGTGTCACCAAACCCATGACAAGCAATCAGAGCTGAACAGAACTTTAAATAACACAACCCCCACCGTGGAATTAATCACCCTTGAGTTAAATTACAGGGCGAGACATGTATGTAGGCTGAGAAGAATATGTGATGTGGTGATTTGTGTTCTGATTTTTTTGTTGCCGTGTTCGTAAAGTCAGAGTTTTCAAATCTTCGACTAGAAGATACCAGGCTGTATGATGTACGTATTTCCAGCTGCCATTTTATGACGAGCGTGCCAGTCTATCAAAGTAAATTGACGCCGCCGTCTCAGCGTCAGATACAGAGCTTAAAGACCATGTATAATTTAATTTGATTTCGTTCTCTGCAATTATTCATAATCCTTCTCCTTTGTGTCTTTGATGATTATCAGCAGAACACGCTGACGATAGATCAGTGTGATAGGGAAATCAAATGGGATCAGCTCAATACTGACAATGCAAGCCTGATTTAAGGGATTATCCTCATTATGCAGAATTACTGTTGTGTGAAAATGTTATGTATGTGACAAGAAGCAACAATTTGAGTGGCGCATCCTTCAGAAAATTTCAAGGATTTCTGAATGTTTAGCTATTGCGGGGAAGTGGCGCTCAATGAATGGCACTCCGGATTGCTGTTTTTGGAAAACAACAATTAGCCTAATCTGTTTTTTGTGTAAACCCGCAGAATTATTGAAAACGGAGGACTGATTCACTTCACCCTGCTCAGAGTAGAGGTGAGCCGAGTTCTCACAGCTCATCGAGTGTCTCTGACTCAGAAGGCTCACGAGTCACCATGGATAGAGCATGTATTCATTACATTTCATGCGATTTTCTTCCCACATCCGGCCTTGTTTTTGCAGTTGCTACACACCTGCCAGTCGGTTCAACAAACGCACACATCTGATTTTCCCTGTTTTAATTAAACGGAATGAACATTTAACACTGATGAGCACCTCAATGTCAAAACTGTTGTAAGATCACTGTGTAGGGTATTGCAGCTGGTTACGGAGCATGTAACCAGCATCATAATTGTTAATTATAATATACATAATTGGAATACTCATTAACAAAAGCAATATTGTATCCCATGGCTGTAGAGCTGTATTAGTCCAGGCTTTGGCTGTGTGTTTTTCTACAAGCGTAGACTCTTGTCTACACATTTCCAGACCTCAGTGTAATTACGCACCTTTACACTCCCAAATAACTGTGAGAAGAGTCGTTTTTGCTTTGATATCCAGAGCTTAATTTTTCAAATAAGGTGAAGTTAAGGAGCCTGAAGTAGGTGGAATGAGACAATTCACTGCTGCAGCCCTTCTTTATGATTGAGCCTGATGAGATAATTATACACCTGGTTTAATCACATAAAAACCTTGCCTAGCTCAGCTTGGAATGTAATAAATCTATTGTAGCCAATGAGTTATTAATCACAACACAGTTTTAAGAAAACAAACAAGACTGCAGCCCTGCTAGCAGCACTGTGCAGCTGTACTGTGGAACAGCTGTAATGTTTGTCAGTCTCACCCTTTTAGTTTAGTATGTCAGCATGCTAACAGCTGCTATGTATCACTAAAGTATTGGGCTACAATTGTGGCCCGAT